CCCCCCCCCCCCCCCCCCCCGCTGAGTTCTAGCCTTACCTGGGCAGGAAGAGTGGCCCCGTGCATACGTAGACATTTTGGTAGGTGCGGGTCAGGCTGCGGCTGTACTTCTCCAGGTTGTTCCAGGCATTCTGGTTGAGATGGGGCACCTGGTTGAAGAGGTGGGGCTCAGACTGTCAGATGGCAGGAACTGGCCCCAAGCTGGGATAGTCTGAGGGGGGGTGAGGTGGGCAAGCATGCTACCGTAATGGGTTCAAGGAAGGAGAGACCCCTTTAGGCCACCTGGCCATGAGGGTGGAGCCGGACAGTGCTCAGGGGGTGCTAGCCTGCCCCCCTACAGAATGGGAGGACTAACATCCTAGACCTCAAAACAGCTTCTCGGCTCCAAAAAGCCACACCAAAGAGAGAGGCACTTCTCCCTCTTCAGAGAGAGTAACAAGCTCCCCGTGCCCATCCCCAGGGGCCCATGGGAAGGCACCTTGCCAGCCCTACCCTCTCCTTTCTGAACCTCATGCAGAGCCCAGCTGAACTCCTGGGTCTTGAGCTCTCCCGTGTCAAGTCAAATGGGCAGGGAACTGTGACACTGGGAGAGCAAAAGTCAGATGGCAGACTCAGACCCCCTGGGCCTCATCCAGAGCCCAGGTCAAGTCTCCAGGCCCTACTTGAACAGGGCCTGAAAGAGGGCACACAGTGACTGCTAACAGCTGGCTTTGCAAATTAACTTCCTCTGACTCCTGGGAGGCAAGGCAGGGTAGGGACAATGGCTCAGGGTCCTCTAGACAAACTGCCTGAGTTTTCTGCTGTGTGACAATGGGCCAGTCCCTTTGCCTCTCTGTGCCTCAGTTCCCTGCTGAATGCCCGCCAAGGGTCGGGAAGTGTGCTCAGTACTTTTGTACGCATTGTCTTCGGTTCCTTGGCGCTGCGAGGAAACTGAAGCCCAGAGAGGTGCCCAGAGGCCCACAGTTAAGGGCGGACTGCGGAGCGGGTGCTGGGTGTCCCCGTGTTCAGTGCCTCCCGCCAGGGGCGCGCGGACTGAGCAGCCAAGCGCCTGAGCCGGAGCGCGCGCTCGGCAGCTTCCCCGCTCCGCGCAGCGCAAGCCGAGGCTCCGAGAGGCTTTGAGGGGCCGGGGCGCGGCCGCTACCTGGGGCGCGACGTTGCTCAGGTAGAAGGTGTCCTCCATGGCCTTCTGGCTCCAGCGGTGGTTGGCGGCGGCGGCGAGGTGGCCGCGGTCGAAGCCGCTGCCGCGGTAGTCGGCGTTGGTGGCGCGGTGGTACGCGTGCACCGAATCGTCCTCGCGGAAGTCGCACGAGCTGCGGTCGCCGTCGCCACGGAGGCGCTCCGGCCGCAGCTGCTCGACCACCCAGAGCGCGCAGCGGGTGCGCGGGTCGTAGCACAGCACGTACGACTCGCGGCTCTTGAGCTGCGCCAGCCCCGGCAGCCCGTACTTGGCCAGCTCGCCGGTGCCCACCGGGGCCCCGGGCTTCGCGGGCACGGCGGGCAGCTCGGCTGCCGCGGCCACGGGCAGCACGGGCAGCCGGCCCAGCAGCCCCGGCGCCTCCCACGCGTCCGGCCGCCGCCGCCGCCTCCAGCTCTCCGCCGCCGCGCCCAGCCCCGCGCCCAGCGCCAGAGTCAGGCCAGCCCGCAGCGCGTGCATGGCGGAGAGCGCGGCCCGAGCGGAGGCTGACAGCGGCCCGCTGCGCCGGGGGAACGCCGCGACCTCCGGCGGCCGACCGCGAGGCTCTTAAAGGGGCCGCGCCGGTCTACGGGGCCCACCGCGGGAAGGAGGCCGGGTAGGGGCGCGAGAGGGTGGGATCCTCGTCGTTTCCATTCACGGACGCTTCGAAAATCTGGGGAACCCCAACAGAGTGGGTCAGGACTGGCGCCGAGCAGACGTCCCGGCGCCCTTTCTTTGCCCTTTTAAGACGCGCGCCGCGAGGGAGAGGGGGCGGGACCGTGCGGGCGTACCTCCGCGCTCCTGGTTCGTGACTGGCTGCCACCGCCGCGCCCCGCCCGCCCCTCACCTGACAGCACTCCGACCTCCGCGCGGCGGTAGGAGCTCTGACTTAAGGCGCACTGAGAACTTTCAGGCACTGATCTCATCCGCTTCCACTACTTGACTTAACCTTCAAAAGAGCCTCGAGAGGAAGTTCCTAGTTGGCAAAACAAGCGAAAAAGGACAAGACCCCAGGTCTCACACCAAAATCTACCCTCCTACCCACTACACCGTACGTCAAAAGTTCTAGGACATAGGCAAATCCGCAACAGGACAAGGATGCAGGCGGCTGGGGAATGGCTGGTTGGGTGGGAAATCGGCACGATTCTAGAACACAGCTTTGCAGTATGTTTAACAGCCTTAAAAGGTTCATACCTTTCAACCTGCTTAGAGGGCTGCGCCTGGGAAAATGAATACGGAACGCTAAGATTTTAAACGCCGCAGTATTCCTCCTAATGGAGGGTGAACTAAGCAAAATACCCCAAGTAGGGGCTGGACTCAGACATTTTTTAGTCTATGAGAATACTATATAGGCCGCAAATATCAGCAACTTGCTTACCACCTAACCTCAGGGGTGAAACAGTACACAAAACTGTATCAAGAAAACGACGATGTAGCAAAGACTAACATGTTCTCAGTGATTTTCTCTAGATTGTGGGCAGTCCGGATTGTATTTACTTGAACTCCAAAATTCTGTCGATCTCAAAAATAACTTGCTGTGTAACCAAGTACGTAGTACCTCCTTCCCTAGCCCACTGGCCCTTGGCCTGCAGGTGCAAATTGCAATTGTTGAATGAGAAGACTTGAATGGGCTCTTCAACAAGAATTTTCCAGCCTTTTTCTTTGCCCACTCTGTCTCTGGACTCCACCCCTGCTCAGATTTGTCCTTCTCTGAGGTCTCAAAGGTTTCGGCCCATCACAATACCAATGCTCATTGCAAAGAACACATGATTTATTAAAGACAACTTGTGATCAACAGCATTGATTCAAGGAATAAAACTGATGAAAAGAACAAAAGCAGACTCACATTCTGAGCCCGGAGTGAGACCTGCTGAGCTCATACAGCCCAATCTCTAAGTGTCCAAAGTCCTGGGGGCAGCTTCCCAATGGGGAAGCCTCAGGCACTCTGGCTCTCGGGTGCCTCCCTGAAGAGTCTGGGGAGGGGTGATGACCAAGGGCCTGTCCTTTCCCCAGGCAGTATCCTACCGGGGAGCGCAGCCCAATCTGGACAGGATCCCTGTGCTCTTGACCTTCATCCCAAGGTCAAGGAGAGAGCACTGGACCTAAGCCTGCCAATGAGGCAAATCAGACGCAGTGATTCAAATAGTATGGCCCCAGGAGGGAAAGTAGGGGGACAGGCAAGAGGGAATGCATCAGGTAT